ACCCTTCTAAGATAAAGGGGTAACACGCTCTTATACGATAACACTATTAAGATTATAAGTATAAGGAGTATCCTTATCTATTAACTAAGCTAAAGTACTACTACACTATGCTATCCTAGACTTAGGATTATCGATCTATATCTTTAATAATTAAGGCCGTTTTACGGCCGTTAGACTACCCACGGATACTTTATCTTTATCCTTTTATATAAGTACTTATAAGGCTTCTATCCTGGGATACAGAGACGTTACGCTACGGGTATAATCCCTATCGGGTATAAACAGGCTACTACGCCTCCGTAATATCGTATACTATAAGGAATTCGTTATTAATATCGTCTCGGAATACTAGCTACGCCTATAAGGCTACCGCTAGGATACCGTAAATAATACTATCGTTAGCTCCGCTAACGACCGGCCTATCTATAAGCTACTAGATATCCACGGTTAGTATATAATTAAGCGCGCGAAAGCTATGGCCGCTACCGCGTTCGCGGTCTTAGTAAGGCACCCCCGCGATAACCCGTATAGAAGATTATAATAACCGCGGTAACCGTAAAAGACTATAGTATAACGGTAGTATAAACGCCTTAGCTATTACGGCACCGATACTCTCGTAAAGATTATTAACGCTACTTAGGGGGTAAAGATAACGAGACTATATATAACGGACTATAACGCGTATAGGTAATCGTAAATACCTATATAGATCCGGTGGATACTATCCCTTTACCCGTTAAAGCTCGGAGAGGCCCTGGCTATTAATTTTCACGATCTAGAAGAGTCGGAATCGCTAGGCGGCCTATATAAGTCTATTATATTTATTATAGACGTGTATATAGGCTATACATAGGATTACTACCTATAAAAGAGAGACTAAGGCTTTATCCTGCACGTGTTAAAGGACGTTTGTACCCTACTTAAGACCTAATTCGACGTTAGGCCACGCGTTCTACGGGCCGATTCTAAGATATTTTAGTACCCAGAAATTGTTGCTTTCCTTATTGCTAAGAGGGTAAAAGGTTAGCCGTCGGTATTATAGTTATAGGATTAAAACGGCGTTATAGAACGGATTAAAGGCATTATTAAAAGGAGGGCGAGGGCTATAAGGATTAGGGCTAATCTGCCCACGTCAATCTAGCCTAAGATCTTTAAGACTGCTATATATCTATATAACAGAACACCACGATATATTAACGACTAGAAGACGCTATACGAAGGCCTATGCGGCCGGTAACCTAACCTTACGTACTTACGAGTATACGGCTATAAGGTCTTTATCAAAACACGCGATACCTAAGCTAAAAGGAACCGCCTATAAAGGCTAAAACCGAAGGTATAGATCGAATATCATATTAGATACTATTCCTCGAATAGCTTCCGCGTATAGCTACTATACCTAACGGATATTATTATTGTAAAAGATATAATCTTTAACGAAGATAAGACCTTTAACGGCAGAATTAAAACGCTATAAGCTATAGCTTCCGCCGAGGAAATCGGGGAACGCCTATAATCTATCCGTATCACTAAATTTAACGATATTACGACCGCGAATAGGCTACTATTAAGGGGTATAGCCGTAGACGTATTAGATCTCGAGTCGGAAGACTCTACTGTTACCGCTATTACTACGGATAAAGGCGAGGCCGTCGCTATTACTATAAGAGAGGCCACCGCTATTACTACGGGTGCCGCTATTACTACGGATACTACTATAGCTATAGAAGAAGACTACGCTACCGTTATTACTACGAGTAAAGGCGACGCTACCGCTATTACCGCGGACGAAGGCGAGGCCGTCGTTAGTACTATAAAAGAGGCTACCGCTACTATTACGGGCACCGCTATTACTACAGAAGAGGATACCGCTATTACTATAGATACTCCACGGTTTACCACTACGAGGTTTAAACTGTTTCCCACGCCTCTGATATCCCTGGAAGATCCTACGCACGCGTTCCTTATAGCGTTAGCGGTGGTTAGGGGCGTTAAGGTAGAAGGAGACGATAACTACTAATAGGTAGCCGCGGATACCCCTAAGGGGTGCCCGTTGGCCATACGCCTATTAGCCGCGCGCCTATTACCCGCGCGCCTATCTATCGCGAGAACTATTATAAGTATCTATAAAACCGAGAAAGTGTAGAACGATAACGCCTAAAAGGCGTTCTTTAACACTAAAAGGACTTATAACCCTATACGCGCGAGGAAGCAAGCTATTAATAATAGCGATGTTAGTACTATAGATTCCCCTTATACCTCCTAGCCGCTATCGCACGTAACCCGCGAGGATCTCCCGCCTTTACTAAATCACCACCGCGATATACGCCTTTATCCGTTATTGGAGCGGTAGTTATAGACTAAGGGGGAATACCTTAAAAGGCACCGATAAATAGGCTACTAGTAGGAGGTAGGCAGTAATTAGGCTAATAAGTAATAAGTCCTCGCTGTTATAGGTGTACTATAAGGAGTGATAGACCACTGTAGAGCGATATAAGATTACTTAGGGACTAAGAGGAATTAAGGAGGGGGTATCGTGATAAGATTATTCGTTAAGACCTTCTAAGACTCTAGGAACTATAGAAGGTACTCCCCTCTTTATACCTACCTAAGGTCTTCTAACTAAGTAGGTGGTAAGAGGCCTCCTTAGGACTAAGTTTAGGTATAAGCTAGTTCCTAAGCTAACTAGCTTACTAGATTTAAGCTGACTTCTAAGCTAACTAGCTTATTAGACCTTAACGCGTTATATTCTTAACGGTCTAACCTGACTACAATCCCCCTATCTATATATAAGTCTGGTGCTAGTCCTATAGCAACGTATAAGCACTGTATATTCTAATACTCGCCTATAGATAGGTATACACCTATAAATTTAATAAGGAGGGCACCCTTCTTAAATATAAGGCACGCCTCGTAGTGCGAGGGGATTAGTAAAAACGGTTAGAGACTAAAGATAACTACGCCGCCACGCTAGCCTCGCGGTCCTTCTATATACTAATAGTAATCGCCGTATAATTTAACCTGGAAATAAGGCAGTTCGACGCGGTTCACACGTTCGTTAACGCCAGACTTAAAGAGGAAGTATTTATAAAGATACCGTAAGGCTACGAAGTGCTAGACAAGGTACTACTACTACGGAAAGCCCTCTTCGGCTTAAGGGTATCGCCACTACTATAGCAGGAGGAATTTAGCGGCACGCTGTAGAAGATAGGATTCACGGCCGTGCCTAATAACCCCTATATTATAATCCGCGATAGTTTCATCCTATTCTTCTACGTTAACGATATCGGACTTATCTACTATAAGGATTATAAGACTAACGCCGACGACCTTAAACCTGCCCTTAAATAAAGCTATAGGTTATCGGGAGGCGATAAAATCCGTTAGTTCCTAGAAATAAAGGTTCTAAGGGATAAAGCTATACGTAGGTTATAGCTATTATAATCCTCTTACGTGGATAAGATTACAGTTAAATACTACGTAGATATCCTTTACCGAAAGCTACTAAAGGTCCCCTTATTAACTATAGAACCGCTAATACTACGCGACGGCATATACGCGTCGATCCCTAATATCCGCCAGTATCAGGGTATAATAGGTTTAATCCTATATACCGCTATCGTGATAAGACCTGATATCGCGTTCGCCTATTCAAAGCTTTCCTAATATAACGTTAACCCCTCCTCTAACCACCTTAAGAGGGCTTAATAAGTACTGCTATTCTTATATTATATAAGGCACTACTACATAGAATTCGGTAGGGATAGACTCTTCCTAATAGTAAGCGACGCGTCCTTTAGGGATAATCCAGACCGTAAGAGCTTATAAGGATACATAATAAAGCTCTTTAGCGGCACTATTAACTAAAAGGCGGGCAAATAACCGATAATAATAACGTCGTTAATAGAGTCGGAACTACTCGCTCTTACCGAGACAGCTAAGGAGACGCTATTCGTTAGCCGGATATTAAGGGATTCAAAGCTTCGGTTAGACTAATAGTAACTATAGCTATACTACGATAATTAACAGACTATTAACCTCGTTAATAAGAAGGCATAACGCCTACGGACAAGGCTACGGCACGTCGATATATATAACTAGTAAGCGCGCTAGTCAGTATAATAAGGTCTTTTTAACGTCACGTACGTTAACACGAAGGAGATAATCGCGGACGGTTTAATAAAGGTATTACCGGAGGCAGGAATTAAAAGACTATAGTAATAGCTTAATTTAACGAATTAAAAGGATTATATTAAGTGGTCAAAGTAACTACACGAAGAGATTAATCGCGCTTAAGCCGCGGTTATAGCGACGATAAAGGCCTTCGAGGGCGTAGCAGATCCGATAGATATAGATCCGATTAAGCAGATCCGGCTAATTAGGATTAAGGAACTAATTAAGATAGAATTAAATTAAACGGTTAAATAGGGCGGATTTAAATCCCTTTTATAAGGCCGTTTTCCCCTAACTATTAATTTTACGATAGAAAAGTTAAGAGCGTTTAGTTTAAACCGAAGCCTCTAATTAGCTAGTTAACCTGGGAAGACCCATCTTAACTAAGGGGGTGTGTCGTATAGGCACACGGACCACGACGTGGTCTATAGGGGATCCAGGGGGGATCCACGCTATAACTAAGGGCTTCGGATATCGGGGACTTCGGGCATCAGGATATAACAGGGGCGGATACCGGAAAACACCGGATAGGATCCAAATGACATAGTACCCATAACAGAGTCTTCACCACCCAAATTAAGGGCATAAGAGATATCGCATGTCACATAGCACTTGGATAATCAACTTAGTAGAGCAGCAATCTCGTGTGTATGTATTATATTAAGTTATATCTAGGAAAGTCTCTTATACCCTTAATTAGGGTGGTGAAGACTCTATTATGAGTACTATATTATTTAGATCCTATCCGGTCTTTTCCGGTATCCGCCCCTATTATATCCTAATACCCGAGGTCCCCGATATCCGAAGCCCTTAGTTATAGCGTGGATCCCCCCTGGATCCCCTATAGACCACGTTGTGGTCCGTGTGCCTATGCGACACTAAGGCCCTTAATTTTAACCCTATTTTGACAGTTCCAGTTACGCTGTATCTGACATAGTCCCCCCGAACAACCCTCTTGATTAGTCAGACAAGCCGTTTGCCCTAACGAATTTCGGCTCTTGCCTTCCTATCCCACAAGTATATTCTGGATACTCCCTCGCACCGCCAGAGAACTTATCCCTCCACTCTTACCACCACATCGACAAAACGAGAGCGAGTCTGAAAAAAATGGCCAGTACGTGCCCAGTGATCATAATTCGGAACGTTAGATTCATGCTTACTTTTTGACAGAGTCCAAGAACTCGTCCCAGCATAACCAGTCGCGCAAGGCGCATCGCAATGGGTAAACTCAGCAACAATACAACACCTAAGATGCGGAGTCTCAAATCACACAAAGGACTATGCTGACTTGCTCTGTTCCGACGTCGTTTGCCGACAGTATCAAGAAGGTCAAGACTTCAAGATACCCTTCTTTGAAGGGCACGGACCCCAAGTTCCGCCGCAATCACAGACACGCCCTTCATGGCACAGCCCGAGCTCTGGTATGTCAGGATTGCCTCCTCGGCCGGCGACTTTTGGAGTTAGAAGTTCGTGAAAGCACCCAGAGCTGACTGTGACCTCAGAAGGAATTGAGGGAGGGAAAGCGCGAGAAGGCTTGAGCCTTGCCGACATGTAAGAGGGTAAACAAAAAAGTTCTTAGCCTCTGGTCGTGTTGGCATTCCGGCAGCTGTCCTAGTGAAGGAAGACATGATATTGGAACTGTCTAACAACTTCCCGCACTGTCCCTTAGGGTTGGCGACAGCTCCATATACCTAACTAAGGGTGTTGCAGAAAGGGACTATGTGAAGATGAGGATGAGCTATTGACAAAACCCTGCCTACCATGACGTTGACGTGCAAGTTCAGGTGGCTGCAGTAGGATTGTGTCAAGCATTTCCGCGTAATTCAGTCAGTTGATAGTGTGCTCTAGGCGAAGGGCAAAACTCGCAAACAGGTCATACCCAGCATCCCAGCATTTGTGTTTGAAATGTATGAATGAGGGTAAGTGCTGCTGTCACTCGAATCTACTCAAGCTCTCCCAACACCACCCTAAACAACGCTCCAAGACCGTCCTCTTCTAAGCAGGAGCATTACAATAGCAAAGAGGATGATAGTAAAGGATCTATGTCCTTCAAATTACCGCTGGTCACGAGAAGCAGAAACTTGTTAAATGCCGTGAAACATCGCGTGTCCCGAGTACTCGTTGCGCCACATGTTTCCGGCACAGAATCCTCCAAGCCTCTGTTATACCAGCTATTTGCAAGGTGATGCAAGCCAAGTATATGAAACACTCGCGCCAACACATAGCAAGCCGCAGCCCTCTCCCCTTCGGTGCCAGCACTTCTGGAAGCAAGATACTGGAATATGCACGAAAGGCCTTGCATTATCAGGTACTGCCGGTTCTCTGACTGGCGCTTCAAGCCATGATGAACGTAGCCAAGCCCGACGCTCAAGTTCACCATGGGATTACCCGGGTCTAGCGACTTGGCTCGGAGAAAGTAGTCTACGGATAAAAGGTTAGAAAAGCGACTCGAGCCATAAGAACCATAAGAACCTCAGGATGCATACTTAATGCGAAAGTATAACTCGTGGACGTGAAGAGTATATGACCGTAGAGTGTTAAAAGACATACGTCCAGATTCCGACGGTCGTCTTGCGTCGCAGTGTTCCTATTGCATCCCACCACCTGGCTCTCCCGTGGGTCTCGTTGAAGTTGTGTCGTGTCGATAAGTCTAATTTGGCGCAAGATATATTTCTGGACCGGTCCAGAATTATACCATGATGCCGGAGATTGGCAGAGTCGGCAGAGCGCAGCGAACATTCGATAGGAATCGGAATCGAGGTGGTGCACTTTAGTAAAATATCTCGCCATCGCGACACACATCTCCTCATCACCCAGATATACGGCGCAAGCTAGCCGAGATCAGCCTCTGCGACGAATCAACAGCCCTGATAAGGTGACTTACCAGCCCAGGCGACATGAATGAGGAACATGTAATCTTTCGAGTCTGTGAAGACAATTGAGTCCCTTGCGGCCTCACAGACCTGATGAGCCTCCTCGCCACGGCCACACAGGGCAAGGCTAATAGCGTAGTCGAGGAAGAGTTCAAGCCAATCACCGAAAGGTATACCCCTATGGCCATCGTCATTTGGAGGGGGGTTATCACGCCTCGCCTCGGTGCCTGTGGCAACATCTGGGAATAGCTATCAGTGACCATAAACCAGCAGCAGTAATATCTCAATACCGGTACTTACTTTTCGACAATCGTTCTGCAAGCTCATGAAGCTCAGAATTGCCGTGTCCACCCCGTGTTTGCAATGGTGTACTGAGCACCATATCGTCTGCGGCCCCCAGGTACTTAACGTACTTGTCCCATGTGTAGAATCTTCTGAAAGACCGAAAATCATCGACTAGGTCCTTGGCAGCCGCCATCCAGGATGACACCAGGTGGCGTGCGCCGTGCCGTATCTCCCTCTTGAGATTACGAACGTCTTGGTATTTTCTCGACAGTTCATCCGCCCTCTTATGCTCTTCCTGCCTCCGCTGGTCTGGCGCAACAAGCCTCTTTGGTCTGTATCGTGGTCTAACCACAGCACCTGACCCAGCCTTCTGGCCAGCGTGACCATCCTCAGGACTGTCGAGGTTGCTGGGCATGGCCAGAGGTATGGCGGCGCTTTTCCCACTCCGACGAACGCCGTTCCCTGCGCCTCGAAGGGCGATAGCCTCAGTGATAAGAATCAGTGCTTCCTCGCCTTCTTTAGCCTGCTCGTATATCCTAGCAAGCTCGATTCGAGCATCGATATTCTTCTCATCCACCTGAATCGTCAACAGAAAACAATCTTCGGCGGCTCCCGTGTCAAAGTTGGCCAAGTGGCAGCGTCCCAATCTCAGGAGGAGATCTGGGTCTTCACCGTATATCGAATTTCGGATAAGCTCATAGTAATCCAAGGCCCTAGCAACGTTTCCACTGTCGAAAAGCGTGTCTGCAATGTCCCTGATCAGACCGGGAAAATCTTCAACAGCTGCGGCAGTCGCAGATTCTGTTGGATCTAGCCACGATAGATGTCTCTGCGTTTAGGTGAGCGATTATCATCTCGCAACACGACAAAATCTACTACTTGCCTTGGATTCTTCGACATCACCAAGCTTCAGTCGGTAGAGACCAAGCCGTGCCCTGAGTTCCATCGGTAGCCCGAGCCCATATAGGCTGGGGCTGTGGGAGGGTTTGAAGCCCGGCACTTCAAGCCTGCGAGTGTTCTCAAGGTCCCACTCCCTATCGTCTTCCAGCCATTCTTCCCAGATATTCTCATCTTCGCGGCGTAACAACCAACGCGCCAGGATCCCAATTTCGGTGATTGCTTTGCTGTAGTCTCCGACACAAGCAAGCAGTTCGACGTATATGCTGATGTCTCCCCAGAATAGCCCTAGATCGTCACTCAATGCGCCGGTCTTCAGGTAAGAGAAGTACCTCTGATATGCGGCCACCGCCTTTCCAACGTGCTCCGGACTTCTCGACGCCTCGCAGACCTCCGCTAGCTTCCTGACCACCGAAATATCGCAAGGGTGACGCTCTAGAACGATGATATAATCGCGAATAGCTTTGGCAAGATGACCCCGCCTGTGGTTAAATTCAGCCCTGCCTAGTCTCGCTTTGACACTGGTCGGATCCGCCAGGACAGCCGATGCGAAACAGGTGCCTGCCGTCTTAAGGGCAGGGCTTTGATTGTCGTCACCGGCAATATGTAAGGCAAGTGCTGCACAGCCAAGCCACCCCTCAGCATCTTTGGGGCGAAGATGAGAAGCGTACAGCTTGGCCGTCAACGCATCCGTGTCACGGCCCTGCTCCTCGCAAATCGTCGCAAGTGTGACCCAGGCTTGGTGAGTCTCGGCGTTTATCCTGATAATCTCGTGTATGCGCCTCTCTGATTCGTTGTAGTCGCCGTTAAGAAACGCCCTGTTCACTTGGGCAAGGCGAAGTTTGATATCGCCGCGGGGTTCGGCCTCTGTCAGAGAAGGGCGACCTGGTCCCCGGCCTGATCGGCGCCCACGTCTTCGCTGCGCCGCCGGTCGGTCTCCGTCCTGGTCCTGGTAAGACGCGAGGAACGCTTGAACAGATTGCTCGAATCTCTCATTCTCAGACCGAATTTCGAGTTCGTCGGAGTCAGCATCCGATACTACGTCGTCGTACGTGGGAAGACGGTCGCCGCCAGCATTCCAAGTCCACGCATTTGAGCGATCCATGAGATGATATGGTGTTGAAATTCTTGGTCGGGCATCTACCCGTTTACCCATTGGTATGGCTCTCATGACCCGTTCCCGGTCTTCAGTTCGAGTTTGACAACGGGCAGCGCCGCCAAGCTCCCCCCCAGGGGGGGGGCGGGGCTAATTATATAACCTACTCTATACCACTAAATAACCGTAAATATCCGAAAATAACCGTAAAACGCCTGCTATATATTTTCTATAGCTACTTATTACTTCCTTCCATATTATAACGACGTTTTTTTATTATTTCTTTAATATCGTAAAAAGCCGTTTTTTATTATATTAATCGCCCTTTATACCTCGTAATTAAGCGTCCATTCCTCTCTAAAGTCGCTAGTATTAGCTTCTTTTATTCTCTAATATTTCTCTCCTACTATCTCCTATCGGACAGGCCGTAAGATTGACGGTTACGTAACGGGCACGGATTTGACTGGAGGATTATACCCTTAGTAATCGGGGTGGACACCTGCAGAATCTTCACCATAGAAATTACGGTGGCAGGAGTTCCCCAACAGTCGAGGATTTTAGTTACACACACAGATCTACAGATTTACAAGCTTCAATTGAATCAACAGATCAACTGCCCTATTACTGTTCTTCCACGTTATTTATTACGGTTACGCTGTATCTGACATCTCCTGGCCGTAAATAGCATCGTCGTTAAGTAAATAATAGGCATAAATAATCGCTATACCCCCTACGAACGCGTTAATACTAATTAATAGCTTACCTTATAGATAAGGCCGCTATGCTCGCCCGTATAGAGGGCTACGTATATAACCTGATTATCTAACTATAATATATAGATAAATATACAAAGTAATATATATAAGTATTCTTATTTATAGACAAAGGCTGTTTATTTCTAATGGTTTCGAAAATAGTTTAAAACTATAGAACCCCGAAAATATACGATAAGAATAAACTTATTGATAAATAGATATGTTATACTTTCTTAAGTATTTAAATAAATTATACCTTCTATATAATATAAAAAGAGCGTTATATAATAGAATTAGAATTATATTATATTTTATTTATCTAGCTTTTGTACTATAGTAATAAGATAAAATAATACTAAAATAACTTTGACTGTAGTTCTATTTACATTTAAGTTCTTATTATAGTCTATTCTTCCTTAGCTCCTTAGATAACCAAATCCTTCTCTATTTTATACTTTTACTAAAGTATTTTATCTAGAACTACTTTCTAATAATATATACACCTTTAATTAGTTTTTAGTTTTATTGTATTTTCTATTAATTCAATTCTAACTTTATAACTTTATATAACCTTATTCTCGATAACTACTTTATATTACACTTATATTATATTTATATTAACTTTTTTTTACCTAAAGCTTAGGATATAACTCTTATATTATATACTTATAATATATTATCTTCTTCTATTAATACTATATTCTATCCTTTAGTATATTATTTATTATATTCTTTATATTTATATATTATTATTTTTATTATTATTATTAATCTTACTCCGCTATCCTAACTAATCTATCTATAAGAGCCTTTCTAGGCTATATAGTCCTTCTCGGGTAGCTATAGAGGGGAAAACCTAGGTAAAACCCGGGGAAAACCTCTATACACTTCCTTAGGTAGAGAGGTGCCGCTACGGGGCCGATGTAGCCCCGGTTCGTCCCTATTACGTATCTGGATCTCACCTCTAGGCCGGTAGCTAACAGGAAGTATAGTAGGCTAATAGTTAGGTGGGTTAGCCTAGGCTAATCTCTATTAGTGGAATAAGGGCCGAGGGGGCGCCGCCGCGCTTCCGCTATACGGTAGCTACGGCTCCCCCTCCTTAGGCTCCCTATATCCCTTAAGGATTATGCCTTTATTCCTTCCGTTCGGTTAATACAAAGAGTAGGGGAGGTAGGCGCCTCCTGCCTCTTTAGGGTAGGTTCCTGCTATATCCGGTGGTAGGTAAGGGGAATAAGGCCCTACCCTATTATAAGAATTAGATAATTAATATCCCCTAAGGCCTTTATACCTTAATCCTCCCTCTTCCTCCTATAACGCTAATAAGTTTATTATAGGTTTTTCCCCAGTCTATTCCCGCTTACAGTCTTATAGGTATATCGTTACGGCCTATACTAACTAGTAAACCCTTTTAGTTTTCTTATTATATTCCTATTATATTTTAACTATAGGTGTTTTATAGGTAGCGTTATAGTAGCGTAGTGGTATAGGGTTAATTAGGTAGTATAGTAGCGATTTATATATATAAATATGTAATCCGAAGTAGTAGTATAATATAAGTTCTCTTTATAGTATAGCGGTGCCTTAGTAATAGCATGCTAATAGTTATAGATATTATCTCTTAATAATACTAATACTAATAATAATAACCGCCGCTATAAGCGCGGCACTATTCGTGTTATACTATATATAGCCCTTAGTAGTATCGGAGTAGTATTTTAGCGCTAATATAGGGTAATTATATTCGTTATAGTAACCGTTTAGGTATTTACCCCGACGATATAAAAGCTTACGCTAATACTACGGGAATAGGCGCGGCCTATTATTAGTATACTAATAGTCGCCGTTTATATAAGGATATAAGTCGCCTTAGTGCTATAGTGGTATTATATATACGTCGGGGTGGATATAGCTAATAGTTTTATAAGTCCCCTCCACTACTAAGAAGTAATAGTAACGCCTTATAGATATCTACTAGGTATATATAGCGGCTAAGGCTATTAGTAGCACGGGTATTATTATTATAGGTGCTCCCCTTTAATACCGTGGCGGTTTACGCTAATAAGTTATAGGCTAAGGAGCGCCTAAGGACGGCGTCCTAGTCTTTTAGCCGGGCCCTAAACTGGGCGTTACCTTCCGGTCGCGGTCACGGCGGTACTATATTAGTAAGAATATAGGCGTTATCTTATTAGATAAGATATTTAGAGGGTAAGCTAGATCTAATCCTAGAATACTATATAAGTAGCTCCCCCTCGGTCCTGCTACGGCTCCTTAGCGGTATTATCTAACTAGCCTAATAGGGTCTTAAGTATATCGAAAGCGGTATTAATGCCTCCGAGGGAGGTGATAATAATAAGAGCTAAACGGTGCCGTAATAGTATTATATTAATACCGCCGGGGTCCTGGCTTATAGGGCCCCTATCCTAATAATTAATTAGTCGTTATACCGCCTTATCCCCGGTACGGTCCCCCTTCGGTATTGCGGGTGTTTTCGTAGGCCTTTATAACTTCGAGGGCGAGGCGGAAGTCCTTAAGCCTCTTCCGTTATAGGAACCACCTTATAACTACCCCGGCTTCTATATCGTAGTCTAATACGTTATATAAATCCCCTTTAGTTATAGGTAGTCTCCCTATAGCACCGAAAAGCTCTCCGCGCTCTTCCTCGGTTATATCCTAGTACTAGAGTATTATATACTCTGTTATTTCCGCCCCCTTATCGCTATAGAGGCACCGGGTTATTAGAAATCCCGGTACCCTTACTTTTACTAAGAAGGCTTATAGGCCTAGCTTTTCTAATCTAATTTAGATAAGCATAGCGCTTTATAGCTTTAGGAGTTATCTATATTTCCGGAGGGAGCGTTATATTAGGGGGTGGCTTAGTACCGCTATAGTATAGGTATAAGGCCTCCGTGCCTTTACTTAGGTTTGACCCTAGTCCCTTATAAGGGCTTTCCTCGGGGCCGTGTTTCTAGTCTAGGTTATTAGGGCGGTGAGATAGGCTATCCAGGCGAGGGCTATATAGGTCCTATAATACCGATTCGGTACCGCTAAGGCTCTCGCCGCGGCGTATACTCCGGCTAATATCTTATCTTCGGTTCCCTCCTCTTATATCCGGTGGACCTTCTAAGCACTAAGGCTTAAGAGGTATAGGTTAAGGGGGGGGATAAAGGTCTCTTTTTCGAGGACCCTAACCGGCGTGGCTTTATAGGCTCCGGCCACTAATCGGAGGCACCGGTTCTATACCGTTATAAGTGCTGCTATAGGGCCTTACCGGGGGCCGGCCCTTATCTTATAGATAGTTAAGGCGTAGTAAGCAATTACTAGTCGTATTACTATAAGGTATAGTCTTCTTACGTCTATAAAGCTATACCCCTATACTACCGCGCTAAGCGTTAAGAGGGCGTATATTTAGGTAGCTAGACGGCTCTTTACTTTTTTAGTATTTGATCGGAAGTCGAGCTTCTTATTAAGCTAAACGCCTAGGAACTTTATCGCCTCCGCTACTAGTATTAAAATAGTATTCAGGGGGAGCGGGGCAGGGGAGGGTTAGCGTAACTTTGTAAAGGGGATATAAATACACTTAGCTAGTTCGAACTATAGTCCGCTCGCTATCTCCTAGTTTAGGTAAGTACGCTATATAGCGGCGAGGCGGTACCGTGTTTATACCTCCGTTCTACTAAAAGTAATAATATTTATATCGTTAGTAAATCCTACTATTATCGTTTTAAGAACGCTTTCTAGCTCCTTATAGAGGGTAAAGATTAAGAGGATAAAAAGGATAAGGGAGATAGGGGAGCCCTATAATATACCCCCGTAAAAGTACCGCGGGGGGGCCGTTTCGCTATTAAGTAATAGCTAGGCTATATGGCCTAAGAGGAAGCTACTACTTAGGGTAGTAAGCTATTAGGGGAATCCCTTCCTTTTAAGTATCTTAAGGAGGTAAGAGTAAGGGACTATATCGAAGGCGCTTTTAATATCTAGTTAAAGTATCGAAGCGGTATTATTATAGGCCTAACTTGCTCTTACGGCCTCCGTGACTCTCTAAACTACTATCTCTTTACTCCGCCTAGTCCGGTTACTTATTTACCCCTCCGGGAGGAGCCGATACTCCTTCATAGCGGCGGTGATATAGTCGGCTAATATCCCCTTAAGGACCTTACCTATTATATTAAGAAGTGATATCGGTTATAAGCCCTTAGCTATCTTATAGTCGGCCGGCGGCCGGCCTTCCTTCTTAAGGCCTACTATAGTAGCATAGCGGCACCTTTTCGGATAATAGCCCTCTTCGAGGCACGCTATAAAGATAGTACTTAGTCTTTAGTAGAAAGG